TGGCGCATCATGGCACTCGTGAAGTATCATCAGCTTGAGATCTATGTCATGAGGGACATAGATTCTCAAGGGATCACAGGGTGACAGTTGATGCCATAACAGGCCATAACTGTAACTAAAGCGATTTAGTTTCGCTTGAGGTGCGACGGAAGGGTAACCTTTCGTCCACCAAAATGATCCAACAGCAGGAGACAATGTTTGTCCTGACTGTAACACTCCTTGATATCGGAGGTCATTGAGCTCGTCACATGGTAGGCCTTCATGGCTGCCAATGTTGACGACTCATCTTGTGCTTTCTCACGAGACACACTTTCCTGTTGTCTTGCCTCAAATTCTGGTCTTCAAGACAAAGCGTCAGCCAAGACATTCGACTTACCCGGCTTATATTCAACTTTGAAATTAAATCAGAGAAGAATGTTAGCCATCTCGCCATCCTAGGCAAGATGTGCGGTGAATTTATAGCGGTACGCAGTGATGCGTGATCCGTATAAACCACAAAAGGTTCGGTGCCCAAGAGGTGCACCCGAAACTTCACAAGGGCATACTTAATTGAAAGTAGCTCCTTGTCATGCACAGGGTAATTCAGCTCGGCAGCTTTTAAAAGCCGAGACTGATACGAAATGACACGTTCAACGCCGTTGTCATCCTTCTGCATGAGCGCGCTGCCGATTGCAAAATTGCTTGCATCGCAGACGACGCTAAAGGGCTTATCCGCGTCTGGAAATGCCAAAACCGGTGCCTCTACAAGAGATTGCTTCACTGAAGTGAACGCATCTTCTCGTTCCTTCGACCAAGTCCATTCTGTATCCTTTTTTAAAAGGTCAGAAAATGGCTTGGTCTGCTCCGCATAATTCTTGCTGTACTTATGCAAGTAAATAGCGATCCCAAGGAATTGGCGCAGATCCTTCACATGTCGTGGGACTGGCCATTCCTTTACAGCCTTTACCTTTTCTGGGTCTGCTCGTACACCATGTGCACCTACGATGCAGCCCAGTACCGGTATCTCGGGGACCCTATTACGCACTTTTGCAAGTTAACGTATAATTGGGCGTCACCCAGAGTCTGCAACACAGCGTCTAGATGACGCTTGTGCGACTCTATCGCGCTCAGACCGTCCTCCGCCCTACTATGCACGAATACATCGTCAAAGTAATGGGGCGCGTAGGCACGGTGCTGACGCATCACGTGAGCCACCACTCGGTTGAATGTTGCCGGAGCATTTTTCAACCCTTGTGGCATCACAAGCCACTCCCACAGCAAACCGCTTGGGGTGCTTACTGCCGTTTTGGCTACATCAGTATCTCTCATGAGAGCTTGATAGTAGCCATACTTCAGATCCAACGCGGAAAGATAGTTGACTTTCCCATGGAATTCAACAAGACATCTTTCCGCGGGATCGGCGTTTGAGCCGGAATGGTGGCCGTGTTCAGCTTATTATAAGCATGAACCACGCGCCATCCACTTGTGGCTTTACGCACACAGAAGGTCAGACTGCAGTGAGGCGACTTGCTCTTACGTACATATCCCGCCTTAGCTTGCTTGTCGAAGAACTCATCGATGTAATCGACTTGTTCCTTCGGCAACGGCCATTGCCTGGTCACACAATACTTGGTGCAAGGCTCCAGGTCAATCTCGTGCCTGATGCCCCTATCGGCCGGTAGGCGGCTCGGCACTTCTGCTGGAAACACATCACGGTGTTTCCACAGAACATCATAGATCGGGCTGTCCTTCGAGGCTTCCCAGCCTTAAACAGCAGACAATTTCTTCTTGTCGGTTCCCAAGACGCTTTCATCCATTGTGGATGAAGAGCAACAGTCCACCACGTTCTCTTCTGGAACTGTCGCGACTATCTCGTGGATCTTTCCTTCCTTTAGTTCGGACAGGAACAGATCCCACGTCATCTCCGAGAGATTTACTATCTCCTCGGCAGATGCCAAGACAAGTTGGAGCATCTCAACTGAGGATGCCTCCGGCGTTTTGTCTTCGACGGCCTCGAACAACTCGTTCGTAGGTCCGTCCTCTTGGACCGAGACTGATCCAAGGGTCACTCGTTTCGACGTGCCCTTGATCGTCTTAATACGTCTAATGCTCGTTCTTCGAGTCACCACGACGTTTGACCTGAAAGAAGGTGTCGTTGCTGCCTCAGCTAACGCACTCCTTCCAACCGCACCAGGCCCATGGCTCTGTGCCGGTTCTTGTGGCGCTTGACTTCCTGTCAGCCCACCATCAACTGCCACAGGCTCTCGGCTCTGTGCAGGACTATTGGACGCATGACTATCTGTCATCGCCCCATTCACTACACCAGTCTTTTCGACCTGGGTAGGAACATGTGTCACCTGGCTTTCCGCCAGTGCACTCCCAACTACACCACTCCTTTCGAGCTGGGTAGTTCCTGGTGTCGATTGACATACCGTCATCGCACCATCGACTGTATTGGACACAGCATCAGCCACATAAGCTTCTCGCAAGAGCACATCCTTTCCGGTGTCTTGCGTAGAGCTAGCGACTGTGCGTGTACGCCAGTCTATCCATGGTTGGTGTTTAGCCAACCAAGGCATGCCTAGGATGAGGTCATACGGACTCTCCATACCTAGCACTGTGAACTTCTCTTTACAAGAGAAGTAGCTGAAACTGAAGGCGAGTTAAACTTGAACTTCCTACGATTGTACAAGCGCGCCGTTCGCTAAACGAACGATCGCCTCTTCTCGCTTGCCATCCTGGCAAAGCGACTCATAACTCGCCGGTCTCTTTTTCAGAGCCGCGAGTTTCACAAAGTTTTGTGATGCACCCGAATCCACGAGAAGGGTCATCACTTGGTCATAGCCTCGTACTCGAGCGCTATAGACCAAAAGAGCTGAGGTCCGACCTTTCGGTGCCTCAGGGACTATGCTACCCATTTGTTCGATCACTCTGAACTTAGGGATAGCTCCAGAGTCCGCGACAGTAGGGCATCCCGCCCCTACTGCGCTCCCGCATTTCCCGACCCATCTTGGGCAGGTGCTGAACCCGTGCGTCGTGCACGCTGGTTTTTCGCACCTCCCTTCGGGTTGGGAGACCTTTTGCTGGCTGCCTTAGCACCAGCAGCTACTTTGGCATAGCAGTGAGCCATCATATGGCCTCGCTTGCCGCACTTGTAGCAGATCACATCTGCATTGCCTAACTCCATAGGAGTGGCATCAGACCTTTCGGTCGACGGCCTGTAATAGGCTGTCGCCGAGGCGCTGTTGTAGGATTGCTCCTCAACTAAGGCAATGTCAATTGCCTCTTCCATCGTCGCTGGCACCTTTCTGAAAAGGTCCTGACGCGATGGGCCATGCCTAAGTCCATTCATGAACGTGGCTACCTTGATACGCTCTGGTATCGGTTCCCCATTGATGGACGCCGACAGCGAACGCATCTCCTGCACAAACTCTTGCAGAGAGCGTTTCGCCTGTCGTGCTCCAAAGAAGCGCGCCATAAGCAACACTTCGTTGTTAGGCGGCTGATACATGGCGCGAATCTTTGCCTTAAAGATCGCCCATGATGGAAATGCATCAGCATTAGCCATCAGCGCAGAGTACGCCCACTCTGACGCTTTGCCACGTAAGTTGGACATGGCATACGACACCATTCTGGTGTCGTCTTCGATGAGTTGTGCCACTCCACATTGCTCAACTGCTAATAGCCAGTGAACAATCGTGTGAGGGCTAGTCCCATCGAACTTCGGAGGGTCCATCCGAATGGGCCTCGGTTGAGCAGGCCGGGCAGAGAGCGTCTCAACAGTTCTGTTGAGCGCCTCATTACGTGCTTGCTCAAGCCTAAGCTCATCCTGAGTCTTAGTGATGGACTCAGCGGTGGCTTGGCTATTTACCTCGGACGCGTTTCTACGCTGTCCGAGCACAAAAGTTTCAAATTGCTCCAACAGAGCAACATGTTGCTCAGGAGGACAATGCAAGAGGTTGACCAGGGCTTGTTCACCAAGTCCCTGCGCCATATGCTCTGCCAACTCCCTATGATGTTGGGAGAGGTGAGGGAAGTCACTCCAGTCCATATTAAGGACCATGTCAACCACACGCACGCTCAGAAAGACGGTTACTACTAGTGCTACCAAGTGTAGACGGGCACTTCTACGAAGTTGCCTCGTGCATCTTAGCCTGCACACACCTTCAGCACAAGCGAGGACCCGGTTAGACCGTCTTACCTTCGCGTGCGAGGGTGGTTGGGAGGTTGGTCGACTGCTTAAGCAGTCGTACCACCAGTTGCCTCTCGCTTGAGCGAGAGTGCAACGAACTTCTTAACGCTTACAACACCGACGTCACGCAGAAGTTTCTCAACTTCTCGTGCGTGGTGTGCTTGTTTAAGTAAATTCAAGACTGAGCTATATTTAATTAATTATAACTAAATATATACTTAACTACTGATTGGCTTATATATATATATATATATAGATAGATAGATCGGATACGCGACTGTTTAGAAGCGTATCCTGTCGCATGATCTTAAATCTAGATTTAAGATCGCAACTGACGTCCTTCTGAGACGTCGTGATGCCTAGCTTCAACTAGCGTCATCCCTTCTTATGTGAATCCATCAATGGATATCACATTCACGAGGGTGGATCACATTTGTGTATCGCACCCAAGTGACAGGTCAAAAGTAATCATGGATACTTTTAGACCAAACATTAAGTGTATTACTTAATGTTTACGTGAAACTAGATACCCTGTTACACCCATATCGTAGATCCTTAGTCTTCTTCTTTAAGCGTGCTTCTCATGCGCAAAGTGGCCTCTTGTCATATGCCACGTCGAGAACTGCTTGTATTGGAATACAAGCAGTTCTCGACGTACTTGCAGATTACCAAGTACAAAAACTACCGTGATGTCCAGCTTGCAATCAGCAACGTACAAACAAATAAACAGCACGTGCTAGAATTCATATGATATGACGATGTAATGTAATACTAGTTGTTAAGTATTGCTTCTCGTTAGAAGAGTTGTATCCGCTAGTTTCAAATCTCCTTACTTGACGCCGAAAAACTTAAGCCAGCCCGAACTCTCTGGGAACTTGACTCCGTTCTCCGTGAGCTTCACAAAAGCCTTGGTGAAGTCTTTAAACCACAGATTCTCGTCTTTCGCGTATATCTCGACGTACTTCGAGTGCCACGCGAGACGTACGAACGTAGGACCCATGTAATTATTCTCATCGAAGATCTCCACGATCTCCTTCTTAATGGCGTCGACATCCACGGGCTTCTCGCGGGCGTTCACCAGATCGGTGAGGGCCAAGCCGCTTATGGCCGCGACATCTGCGGCAGCAAGGATCACGGCGGTCGGCTGCTTCTTGTAGTTAGCGGCGCGAAATTGCGACGTGACGAAGCTGCGCGTCTTGGTGGAAGAGACGACAAGACGCTTGCTGGGCCGCGGTGCGGTTAGCGGCTTGAGGTATTATTAAATGATCAACTATCTTCATGCTTGAGCAACTGTGCGTCACTGAAGATTAATTTCCTCCCCTAGGAGAAACAAATATGCACTCATGATTCAAAGCTGCCCTGGCAGTCACGGCTGGTGGAAGTCCTTAACTACTTTGGAATATTCTACTGTTCTCCCACCGGCCTCCCGTTTTCAAACTGCCTTTACCTCGCTAAAAACGCGAAGTTTTCGAAAGTGCTCGAACCTCAATGGTCGCATATCTTCTTGCTGGTGCGTGGCTGGAAGTTGAATCACAGAGTCTGAACGTTGAGATTCGGCTCGAGCACTTATTAATCTGGGCTTCAACAATTGACCTCTTGGTCAGAAGGTACTTGGTCTTTGCGTTCGTAGAAAGTTTTCAGCCGGCTTATACTGGACCGCTTCCTGTATTTTTCCATAGTTCTTGCATTAAAGAACATGAACCCATGTTAGCTGGATTTGAATCTGGGTTGTTTTCCCTCTCTATACCAATACCATTTCGGAACCGCATCCATTATATGAACATTTTTACTTCGTTTTTGGAACCCGCTGCTCGAAATCTACGCCATTCATTACGATGTCTGACCTTAAGACCAAATTTGAAGCCGCTGCTGCGCTAGTGAAGACGTTTACCAAGAACCCTGTATGTCTCTTGTTTTATACGTGTATCCTTACTATGCATGCTACATTCAACTGATGAGTGTGTATCGTTTCTTCTCGTCGCAGACCAACGATGAAAAGCTCGCTCTCTATGCCTACTACAAGCAGGCCACTATTGGTGACAACACGACGCCCGCCCCGGGAATGTTTGATCTGACGGGTAAGGCCAAATGGAATGCTTGGAACGCCAAAAAAGGTCTGTCCACGGAGGACGCGATGAATGCTTATATCGATGAGGTGGAGAAATTGAAGGCTATCTACGCTTGAAATCCAGCTGCTAGGTCGTGTTTGTAATTTACCCTCACACTCGACATTGTGAGTGGTACGGTGGATAAATGACGATAATTGACCTGGCTCTTCTGCTTGGGAGCTCTTGACATTTTCGTAACTCCCATAATGTGTGTGGAAGCTGATTCTTAGACATGAGTGCCAATGTAACTTGAATCCTTGGACTACGTGCAACTCTTTTATGTGTGTTGAAATTGAGCAAGCTAGATGCAACGTGCATGACTACAGATAAGCTGAAGACGTTTAGTCGAAGGAGAACAACTTAGCACTGATGATGTCGTCCAGGCTGCCGGGAAGCTAGTACATCGAGGAGGGAACATCACTACACGAGGCTATGAACGCAAAAATTGGCTTTGTATACTGTGCTCACTTTGTCCTGCCGTCGACCTTCGACTCAACCTTTGCCTCCATTCGGGCAAAGTCAGACATGAGTTTGCTGATTTGGTCGGTGTGCTGCCCCAGCTTTGTGGAGAGCGAAGTCTGTTGCACCGCCAGTCGGTGCTGCGTCACGGTGTTTTGTGTCAGCAGCCGCATAAGGAGCACTTCCATTTGTTCACCTGCTGCAGGTGACTCCATGGAAAGCTGCGTCATAGCCACCGATGTATCCTCGTCCTGGCTCCCATCGCCATCATTGTTGTCCAACGGTGTTGCAGGCAACGGTGCTTGCGCTGCAGACGTCGCAAAAGCCACCGACGACATTGACAACGCTGATGTTAACGTGACAGGAGACATCGGAACCCCGATCTTCGCCTTGTCAAAACTATGGCGCTCCTTTTGAGCAGCATTTTCCACAGTGACATCTCGCCCATTGTCCTGATGCCTTTTTGACTCTTCGGCATTGTTGTCATCGAACTGAAGCTGATTGTCAACAACTGATGCAACCTCACCAGCAAGATTTTCTCCTGCCGCCAGTGCTAGTCGCTCCAAAATGGAAATATCGCACGCTTCTCTGGGACGTGTGTCTAGAACAAATACGCTTCCCACCGCGTGGTCCGAATTCGGACCGAGGATTGGTGCAGCAGCATAGAAACGAACACCAGCAGCACCCAAGACGAGTGGGTTATTACGAAAGCGGGGGTCCTGAAGTGTGTCCAGTACAACCATCGGCTCGCGCGTGTGCACGGTGTAGGCACAGAATGCAATTTTGCGCGGGATCATCTTGCGTGCTAGCCCCGCGCTAGCTTTAAACCATTGACGATGTTTGTCCAAAAAGCTCACCGCAGCCATGGGGCAGGACAAACGTGCCTTGGCTAGGTCGCAAATCATGTCGAAGGGCTTTTCCAATTGAGTGTCCAGCACATGCAACGAGTGCAAGACTTGGAGTCGATCTTCTTCGTCAGCATTCACAGGTGGTTGAGGCCACGGGTGAGTCCAATGAAATGACGCTTCATTGCTTTGTTGCTCCACCTGCAAATTTTTCTTGCAAGTATTTCTCGACTCGTCTTCTACACTAAAGAGGTTATAGTGTTGGCCGTACTTGGGTGTTGATGAACAAAGTTGCAGCTCGTCACAATCTGGCTCGGATGATGGCCTAGATACAGGAGAGTGCAGGTGGCTCTGCAGCCACAGACGAGAGACCTCCGAGGTCTGCCGTGAAACAGCACCATGTGGTCGACCTGGCCACGGGGTTGAATTGTTCATGACACATGACATGCACACACGAACACGCGTGGACTCAATCATTGCGTCCTTGTAGAGCGTGCAGTTGTTGCAAACCACCTCGCCGCACTGCATCGATAGCAAATATATCAATCAAGTGTTAGGAATTAATAAAAGAGAGCGACTTGCATTGTTAGTATGGGCTGTCTTACCATGCGGCAATGATGTTTGCGGCGGAATGTCCCGAAACTTCTTGTACAGACGACGCAAAGGTTGCGTTCATGATCGGCAACCCAGTCGGCCGAGTCCACGAGGTGCAGCAGGAAAAGGTCGTCGGTCGCCATCTTGTGGTCGCTACCTTTTTTGTCGGCGTTGACCAAAGCAGCCACAGACTTATGAATTGCCAGTGCCGAGCAGTTTTCTTCCCGGAATCGAAATGACTAATGGAGGGCAATGAAACGCCTATATGGTGCTTTCTTCAGCTGGCCAGAACAAGTCAGCTTGTAAAGCAATGCAGTTGATTTTTTCTGGCTTGTGGCAGTTGATTTCTATTAGTTGTGTGCTGAATATTATCAACCGCCACTCAACGTTTTGCATTCATCGAATAACTGAGGACTTTCGGTGAAGCCGGCGCACAATGACACTCAACAGCGTTGCTGGCAAGAAGTTTGGTTTTGGCGTAAGAAACTTAATGACCAAACACCACGGAAAACTCGTTTCGAAAGAGTTTAAGCCTCAGTCCAAGGATAGTCAGCTACATGTATTATCTACTCATGTTTCGCTTCAACAATGCTTAATACGCAGGAAGGCGTTTCTTCGACTAAAAACAGAATTAAGATTTGTGCGTCATGTTCCGGTAAGGACCCCTCACTCGTCGTTCATTTATCGTCACTGGCGGTTACCATGCTTTTGATTACAATATGAAAGATATAATAGTGAGCAAGTACTTCAGACAAGTTTGGCATTACATCGATTCGTCAAAAGCTCATTCGTAACGTCAGTCTTCATTGGTAGTGCAATACATTGAATAATCCACAACATCTGCTGCACTATCAATACGTCAACAACACGATATGTTTTACAATACATTATTACACCCAATCAAGCTCGGCTCCCTTTTGACGCATTGACGTAAAGCATGCGGCTTTTTGCGGCACGAAACGTGGTGCGCTTGGCACGTAGACAGAGTCATAAGGTGCGTGTGTGCTTGACCCTCGATAATTTCTCTACCTTTTCGCTTCGTTTTGCCGCTATTTTGACCAAATTCAACCGTCTACAAGCTTCACTATTTGCAATCAAAAACTTACACCATTTCTGTCAAATTCGCTTTAGTTTCATGGCCCAGTGTTGCATCAAGCGCTGCTTTGGAGCGCCTTGGGACTGTCAGTGATGGCCCTTGCTCATGATGATCTTACTGACGTAAAGGCTGCAAAATTGGAGGCTCAGTGCGACGCCCGATACGCGCCACCTGAAGTGGACGGAGCCTTCTCCGTGCCGCTTGAGCGTGAGGAATTCGCATTCATCGCCAAGTCGCGCGCTACACGAGTAAGCAGCGCATCCTACAAGGCCAACTTCCCTATTGAGGACAAGTACGCGGTGGATACAACGGAGTCGGGGGACGTGTTTGCAGCCGTGCTGGATGGCCATGGTACGAGACACAGCTACATTTATTATAGTTTCGCCCCTTTTAGCGTGTACTTTTACTTGTCGTTCTTGCAGGTGGATGGCAGGTATCTGAGTATGCAAGAAAGACGATGATTGGCAATGTGCAGAAGGAGTTGTCTTATCTGTACAAGCCGGGGACGAACGAGCCAGCTCAAGGCGACGAGACAACGGTCTCGGACGCGCGTGTGGCTGCTGCTATCCAACGTGCATTCGGACGCACAGATCGCGACCTCATGGCTGAGGTGGCTTCTGCTTTCAAACTTGGATTCGGAGCTGTAGCGCGATGCGGATCTTGCGCATGCTTGGCTTACGTGCATGGAGACACCGTTCACGTTGCCAACGCTGGTGATATCCGCGCAGTGTTAGGAAAAGTCGGGAATGATGCCGATACGATTGTGGCTGAACCTCTCAGTAACGACCAGAATGCCATGGTAAAGTTCGAACAGGAAAAGCTCATGAAGGAGCACCCGGGGGAGACAAACGTATTCACATGTCGCCACCCAGACTCGTGCTACGTGAAAGGCGCGCTGCAGCCCACGCGTGCTTTTGGAGACTTCTCACTCAAGCATCCGGAGTTCAACGGCCCGCCTTACGTGAATGGTGATCGCACTGCTGGTCGTCACTTTTCGGCACCTTACACGCCGCCCTACATTACTGCTATCCCAGAGATCAAGTCGCACAAGCTGGAAGAAGGAGACAAATTCCTCATTATTGGATCGGATGGGCTTTGGGACTACCTCAGTAACGAAGAGGCTGTCGAGATCGTCAATGGACAGGTTTCATGCGGAAATCATGACCTTGCTGGCCGTGCATTGGTTGATCGTGTGCTGCAGAAAGCGGCGAAGCGCTACGGAATGACATACCCGGAGTTGCTGAGCTTACCACCTGGAAGCCATCGCCGACGTCGCCATGATGACACGACTGTGATCGTTCTGTTCTTCGACTAAGGTGAGTTGTGTCATGCCGGCGAGCATAAGGTTCTACATAACAGAGTTCTAAAAACCACATCGAAAGTATCATTTAGGAGAAGCAATGTGATGGGATTTACGCGTTGTGATGAAAGAAGGCAAACATTTCTACTGGCACATTCGAGGCGGCACCTAAAGCGTAAAATGCTAAAACGTTTGCGGTAAGCTATGTTCTTTTCTTTATTATTATTATCTGGACATTTCGTAGTTTTCTCAAGCGAGTCCGTATGAAACTGTCATGAAGTGAGACAACGATATAATAAAGTGTAGTCAGCGAACTGAACGGGTGACCCGAGTCCATGTTCTTTCGATCTATGCATGAAGAAGTCACACCACTAGCAACTTGGCTCCGAAATCAAGCAACGTACTGTCGACCGGTAAGATCGCCGCTTGGATATGTGATTGAAGAATGCTGCGCTGCCTTGTGGCATTCACGGTCTAGAAACTGTAGAAATCTTGGCGGACTTGTGATTAGATATTTCATAGGTCGCACAACGATGTTGGCGCTATTTGTACTGCGTATTCGTTGTGCGTGAGAGCTATGAAGATGAGCTTTTTAGCTCAAGTTGTTCGTGTTTCATGTATGGTCGTACCGTGGCTCAGCGATGCACGAGCATGGCAAAAGTTTCAATTCTTTCGTTCCGCTGCGCATGCATTGTTAACATAAGTTGGAAACTTTTGTAAAGGAAGTGCTACAATAGTGGTAAGCCATATTTGTTGTAAGTGCCGAGACTCCTCACTGAAGATATGCAACGCCTTGATGAATCCGCATGCGCGGAAAATGACTCCGCATCTCATTAATACTTTACCGCTCGCCAATGATTCCGTCTCTGAGTCCAAACATTCACCCATGAACTAACACTCTTGCGTGGGATGAAACTTCGGCGTTTCTACGCTATTTCTAAATAATCCTAAGCAGTCATGCGAGGGTTGGTCGCACTCTTTTGGTCGAACTCGACTGGTAAATAAGCTATATCTGTCGTTACCAGAATTTTTAGTTCACTTTCAGTTTAAAATTCTGTAAAGCTTGTATTCGAGCTCGTTATGGGTTTGTCACGTTCCTTTAGTTTTACACCTTCAACATGTTTTTCTTTCTTACAGTGCACTTAGGTACGTAGCGCCACGTACTCGAAGATGGAAGTCGCAGTGAATGCGACCACAATCCTTGACACGAGTCCAGCGTGGCAGTGTGCTTAATGAATACAAAACTTTGCTTGTTGCTCCAGCCATTCGCGGAGGCGATTATTGTCAGCACTCTCTGTCATGCACGTACACTCTACTGATATCCCTGCTCAGATGTTGCCTGAGTCACGCAAATGCTTCAGCATAAATTAGAACAGATCAATTTACAGGATAACTTCAGATATTTCTTACAATCAGGTTAAAAAATCTAGCACTTCAAAATACAAACTTCAAATTAATTTTAAATCCTTTCAAACAACCCGAGGGTGCGACATTCCGTAACATCTTTGTCGCTCGCCCATCCTTTGTTCCGGTAGGTTGATACGCGATCCATGTCCGACGTCATTGTCCTCGTCCTTCATAACCCCTTTTCATTCACAAAACGTCCGTCAGCAGCTCAAGTCTCGAATATTTTTATCTATCCCCAATGCTCCGCCGTGCCGTCCTCCGTACCGTGGCCCAACAAGCGTCTTCCGCCTCTTCCATCAAGACGCGCAGCTTTGTCACGTCGCAATTCCGCGCCGCTAACTACAAGAAGCAGCCGACCGCCGTAATGCTTGCTGCCGCAGGCGTCGCGGCCATAAGCGGCTTGGCCCTCACCGATCTGGTGAACGCCCGCGAGAAGCCCGTGGATGTCGACGCCATTAAGAAGGAGATCGTGGAGATCTTCGATGAGAATAATTACATGGGTCCTACGTTTGTACGTCTCGCGTGGCACTCGAGCGGCACGTTTGATAAGCGCGACGGGTCTGGCGGCTCCACGGGTGGTACTATTCGCTTTGATCCCGAGATCAACCACGGTGGTAACGCTGGTCTGCACTTGGCTATCAAGGCGTTGGAAAAGGTCAAGAAGAACCATCCGGAGATCACGTACGCTGATCTATTCGTGCTAGCGGGTGCTACGATGATTGAGGAGATGGGCGGTCCTGAGATTCCCTTCCGTCTTGGCCGCCCCGACGCCACGAGTGGCAAGGAACCCACACAGACCCTCGATGACCGTCTGCCTCATGCTGACAAAGGCAGCACGGACAAAACAACGCAGCATGTGCGCGACGTGTTCTACCGCATGGGCTTTAACGACCGTGATATTGTCGCTCTAGCTGGTGCTCACGCTGTTGGCCGCTGCTACTCCTCGCGTAGTGGCTACAGCGGCCCGTGGACACATTCTGAGTGGACGTTCTCGAACGGGTACTTCCGTGAACTGATCGAGAACATTTGGACCGTCAAGAAGTGGGATGGCCCCATGCAGTACGAAGATCCGACGGGCAACCTCATGATGTTGCCGTCCGATATAGTACTGATCCAAGATCCCGAGTTCAAGAAGTACGTCGAGATATACGCGAAAGACGAGAATCTGTGGTTTAAAGACTTCACCAAGGCTTTTGTGAAGCTCACGGAGAACGGAGTCAAGTTCCCAGAGAGTTCGGGCTGGCTTAAGTTTTTCGGCGTCAAGTAAGGAGATTTGAAACTAGCGGATACAACTCTTCTAACGAGAAGCAATACTTAACAACTAGTATTACATTACATCGTCATATCATATGAATTCTAGCACGTGCTGTTTATTTGTTTGTACGTTGCTGATTGCAAGCTGGACATCACGGTAGTTTTTGTACTTGGTAATCTGCAAGTACGTCGAGAACTGCTTGTATTCCAATACAAGCAGTTCTCGACGTGGCATATGACAAGAGGCCACTTTGCGCATGAGAAGCACGCTTAAAGAAGACGACTAAGGATCTACGATATGGGGGTCAACGCAGAGGCAAAGCATCGACGCGATGCAGGAACCTTTGCTACCGACACTAGCGCTTGATCGCACTCTAGTCTTTCCCGCAACTAACGAACACTTTTTCAAGACGTTGGTCACCATGTTTCGATCATTCGTGACGCTACGATTACGAAAGAAAAATGGAGAGATAGGAACCAATTGCAGTCTCCGAAGCATGAAATTCATAATTCATTCCCTGCAATTACTTCAGTCGTTGATGAAGTCGATATGGCGATTTTGATCGGGCAAAGAGGAAGAGGTGACGGCCGGACGGATTGTAAGTATGTATGAAGGTTTTGACATTGCAAGTGTGTTGGGTGTTTGACGTTGGTATGCAGACAACAATGTAAAAAAGGGCAAGGAATGAATAACGTCAATGTAGAATTTCACCAACTAATATTGTGCAGATGGCCGGGTGCTCATGAAGCACAAAAGCTCCGGAATGATTAACATCTTGCAAGAATGTCGAAAAACGAAGCGACGAAGCCGAGACCGCTGGACTTGTTTTTAGACTTGCATTGCGCTTCAACAAACTCCAGAAAGCTACGAAGCAGCGACATCAAGTATTCAATGACAAGCAACATACGAAGGCCTTAACCGCAGCTACGATACTCTTGCCATATACTGATCGTTTAGCTAGTATCAAGCGTGAAGCTCGTCGTAACAAGCATGGCGACCGATTCTGCCCTTCATTAGATCAAACTGTTACTCTGCAACAGCTTTATCTACAAATGTCCAGCTGCCCATCCGGAGCAAGCACACCCAAGTAACGATCGCAAGAACAAGGAATGAATCCACTCGACAAGGTGTAAGACAAAGTTTGAGTATTTATTCGACGACTTGACTCTTTGAGAGCATCTTTTACAGGTATGTGCCCTCAAAACCAGGCTCGGGATCAAAGCGGTCGCAGATGCAGTAAATTGCAGCAGTTCGGGCTCGATGAGAAGCGTGACGCCTATCGAAAACTATATCTGGCGGCCAGAAACGTAAATTGTTGCTCGTTTGGCTCTCTTGGATTTGTCTTGTGTGTATTGCTCGATGACCCACCGCTGGTATGGACCGGAAAGCTCATTCGGACACTACAACATGCCATGACCCATCGTACCTTGATTTTGACCACACACTTGATGCAGGAAGCGCAGACGTAGGTGCGAGACTATCGGCTTTATCGCCGACCGCAAATTATATGCTGCGACTCCAGCTCGTTTCTTTGAAATCGGTTTGGAGTGAAATAGCATCGAACTGTTTTGTGAGTCACGAGGATAATGACCAGGACGGTGATCACAGCGGTCTGCAACCACGTGTCAAGCATGGACTAAATTTGAATGAGAACGCTTAAGAAGTATGTTCCGAGCGCTACTATCGTAAATGACAATACAGTAAGTGAAAAAGGCGAGTACAGCTGGATGGTGGAGAAGAGCGGTGTTTTGCTGAGCTCTTTAACGAACTAGAAACGATAAAGCAGGTGGGAGTATCAAACGCTATGCGGTTGCAGCGACTGACTTGAAGGATGTATTTGTAAAGGAGAGCGAGGGCAAAGATTCTTGTTATCACGCCACCAATGATGTACAGTGCTGTCAAAAATGGAATAAAAGTCGAACTCAAACATGCATTTGCAAACTACTGACACGGAAAGTGTCGATTTCGCAGATTTGAGCTTGGGTGAATGAAGCGTGCTAACATGTTTTAAATCGTCACACGAAAACCCTATTTTTGCAGTATGGATGGCCCTTGGCTTTTTCGCGATCGTCATGGCGTGATTTAAAACGTAACAATTGAGTAAACGACTTTAGCCGCCGTCTGCGAAGAAAGCATCGTCTTTATATCGTCTGCGTCAGAGTGATAGATTCGGTCGCGGACATTATTGCGTAGTGATCGAACAAACCTCTAAACCCGATTGTGCTCGATAAGAACGCGCAGACCGAGCAGGCAATTTTTGAGAATGGCACATCATTTTCGCTGGTATGTTTGTGTCGAATGTCAATTCGGTCGTGATTTGAAGACGTAAAGGATGGCACATAGAGCAAAAATCAAGCATCGCTACTGAAGTCAGCAGTGCCGCCGATTACTGCAGAATGAAATATAACGCAATGAAGGCTGGATGCCTAGTGAGGTAACTGTAAGATTTCGTTGTCCATGCGTCCTCACTGTCGTCACACTATCACGAACCGCATGAGCAGAGTATAGCTGGCCCACTTATTTCTTGGAATCATATTTTTACGAGACGAGAAAATACTCTTTTCATACCATAATCTCTAGTTATTGGTCTCTGATGCCGAATTTGACATGATCAACCGAAGAGATTGACCATTTCGACCGCGCAATGGACTTTTTAGTATCGACCTCCGACACAATTACAGTACCAAGTTCAAAGATCGTATCGGACGGCTCTGGCCTCGAGTCGCGACCTGTTTAAATTGAATCTGGACTCGAGTCACGACCTCGAGTACAAGATTAACGTCTCACTCCCAACGACAATTGCTCCCGATCAGCCGTCACAAGCTCCCTCTTCTCCGCCGAGGTAGTTCAAGATCGCCACTGTATATCGTCAAGAGCCTACCAGAGGAACGACCCAGCCCTACACATGTTGACCAAGTTTTCTTCCACGGACATCAGATTGAACTCTTTTCAAAAGTCTGCGCACTTCCGAGTAACTCTTTCCAAAAGTTTGCAATCTTAGTAATTTATATGATGGCGCCACGCGTTTGCTTCGATTCGCTTAGGTGGAAGTCATAACGAGTCTGCTGGAGGCGGACTGATTACACATGGATGCAATAGGTGAAGTGAATGCTCTTAGTGGCTCTAGTGTTAATCCAAATAATAGATGACACCCAATGTCATTCGGTGATATGCTACAATGGTGACCTTGGTACGACTACCTTCTTTATGTCAGGCCTGGTCGCGACTGAGAGGGGTGGAATGTATTGCTTCGCATTGGGTAAGATGCCACTCACATTGCTGAATATGTATGTCTATGTTTTTGCTTTTCGAAAGCGAATGGTTGAACTTCTCTTTTTGTGCAATTCAAAGAGTCAAGCTATAGAACATGTAGTCCCTTATTTGATTATATTGTCAAGTTTTAATAATGAGATGTTTCGATTTAAAAATCCAATTATTTAATAAATTGGGGAGGGGGCTGGTTAGCAAAAAGGTGGGGGATAAATAGCGATCTAAAATTGATTAATTCTGCTGCTCTGAGTTTCCATCTACCGCATTCGTGTGCATATACCGCAAATTTCCGAGACGGTGGTATTCCTTTCCCCTACGCCTTAGCAAGGAACACTGCAGCACTGCGGATCTCGCTATTCAGAGGTTATACATATCAATGTGGTGGAGTGGATTCTCAAACAACGTAGGAGATCCACAAACACACACAGCGCCGGACTGCCGACTTACGGAGGGGGTACCCCGATACCGTGTCGTATTGGCCTTGGGTCTCACCTTGTGTACCCGTCGGCTTGGCTGGTCTTGCTCCTCGGTTGACGTAGAAGACTTAAACTTGGTCTTTGTATAAGACTTGGACTTGGTGGTCCCCGAGTGGATATACTTCACTTGGGACCGGGTTTCTTGGGCTCAATCGACTTAGTCGAGAGCGATGCACCTGGTACTATGTACCCCTTTGGTGGCTGACTGTTCTTGGTCCTTGGACCCCTTTGTGTTCTTCCCCGTAGGGAAACCGCTTCCTGTAGCGGGTCGTAGAGTGTTGACACTTACTTGACACCTCAGGCCAACTATCCTGAGGTTCAACTTGCGTTGCTTGAGCCGTCTAACACCTGCTGGACGTCGGGGGGCCAAAGGGTATCCCGCCCGGAAGAGGTGTAGCGACGGAGAAGCTTAGGAGGGGCGCTTAAAGCTGCCACGTGTAATGCAAGTTCGAGTGTGTTTATTTATCTTATTCTCTGTATGCTTTTCTTGCCTAACCCTAACCCTTTGATCTGGAAAGTGCCACGTGCCGACTCTTGGAGGAAGGACTGGCTCCTTGGTACCCTGTACTTTCTGTAATCTTCGATATTCTGTGTACCGGTTCTGCACCCTCGGACATTGGGCCCCGGTACCCCTGGGCCTCGGTACCCTGGGCCCCGGCACCCTGGTACCCCTAGGCCCCGGTACCCCTGGGCCCCTGTACCCCAGGGCCCCGGTACCCCTGGGCCCCGGTACCCTGGTACCCTTAGGCCCCTGGGCCCCGGCACCCTGGTACCCTTAGGCCCCTGGGCCCCGGCACCCTGGTACCCTTAGGTCCCTGGGCCCTAGTATCCTGGTACCCTTAGGCCCCTGGGCCCCGGCACCCTGGTACCCCTAGGCCCCGTACCCTGGCACCCCTAGGCCCCGGTACCCTGGTACCCTTAGGTCCCTGGGCCCTAGCATCCTGGTACCCCTAGGCCCCGTACCCTGGCACCCCTAGGCCCCTGGGCCCTAGTATCCTGGTACCCCTGGGCCCCTGTTTCCTGGGGTCCGCATGTTGCCTGGAGTCCACATGCTACCTGGGGTCCACCTGTCACCTGGGTCCACCTGTTGTCTGGGACCCACCTGTTACCTGGGGTCAACTTAAGCTGTCCTAGCAGCACTGGTCCTTTGGTCTGTAGTGTAGGGCATCCTAGTATCTTCTCCGAACTCGGGACCTTGGACCAGTTCGGGACCCTGGTCACTCCCTGTCACTCATTCAAGAGAGTGACCGAGATCTTTCCCGCCAG